GTTGAGTATGAAATGGTACCTTATTGCATATTTCTTTTGCAGTTTGATGTACTAGGGAGTTTGAATATCTTTTGTGTTTACTGATAATTTGAGGGGTTTTTTCCATGAATTGCTCATTCCAATCCTTGGATCAAATAATCCTCCTGTCTCAGTCTCCTAAGTAGCTGGGACTACAGGTGTGTGCCATGCCGCCTGGCTAATTTTTTCTGTTCTTAGTAGAGATGGGGTCTCGCTCTTGCTCAGGCTGGTCTTGAACTCCTGAGCTCAAGTGATCCTCCCGCCTCAGCCTCCCAGAGTACTAGGATTATACGCATGATCCACTGTGACTGGCCAAAAATAATTTTTTTAAAGAAAAAAATAATTTCATTCTTGTTCACATGTAAAAAAATAAAATGCAGGCCAACTAAATAAATGAATGCATTTCCCAAACTCTTTCACATAGAGAACATACCTCTTTCAAATCACGTTTTGATTCTGAGCAGCTGATGTCACTGTTTCCTGCGTGTCATCGTCCTTGGTGCCATGGAGCATACTGGTAACACAGCATTTCAGAGTGCTCCACTATTGTCTCTAGGACTTCCAACCAAGCAGCTGACATCCATTCTGCAATGACAACAACTATGCCACGACTACTGTCTAGCTAACAAGACCCATCCCAGTTTCAGAGTTGTTAAAATGGGAAGGAACTGGGAGGCTGAGGCAGGCAGATTGCTCGAGGTCAGGAGTTTGAAACCAGCCTGAGCAAGAGTGAGACCCCGTCTCTACTAAAAATAGAAAGAAATTAATTGGCCAACTAACATATACAGAAACAATTAGCCGGGCATGGTGGCGCGTGCCTGTAGTCCCAGCTACTCGGGAGGCTGAGGCAGGAGGATTGCTTGAGCCCAGGAGTTTGAGGTTGCTGTGAGCTAGGCTGACGCCACGGCACTCACTCTAGCCTGGACAACAAAGCAAGACTCTGTCTAAAAAATAAAAAAATAAAATGGGAAGGAAAAATGTGTGCCAGAAGCAATGAAATGTAGTAATTTTTGTTCCTGACGTTTATTAGCTGGTGGGCTGAATGAACCTAAAATGAAACTGCTAAAACACAAATGCTCTCTCAAAATAGAAATTTCATCCCGTGTTTAAAATTCTTCAATGGCTTCCAAATATTGACCAACAGAATAAAATCCAAATTCCTTAGCATCTATATAAAACTGTTCATAACCTGTTTCTTTGTAAAATTATGAACTATTTTAAACACACAAAAATATAGAGAACATAACAAATAACATGTAGCCACCACCCATATTTGACAAATATTCGGTCAATATTATTTTGCCATCTTTGCCTAGAATATATATGTGTTGTGTGTAAATAGAAGGGGTCCAGTGAGGTAAGATTCTATGTGGTTTAGACTCACCAAATTCCCTTTGATGGTTTCCCTGTTTGGAACAATCCTTCTCTAAATGTATTCCAGGAAACAGTACTGGTAGATATTGCAGTGATATGGTAGAATGATACCTAAAGCATCCATTCTAGTCCTTCTCATATCTTGCTAACACTCAGAGCCTGAAAGGTAACTACATTTCTAGACTCCCTTGTAGCTAGAATTTTCTGGTTGTGATTTAGGTAACCTGCCAATCAGATGTACTTGTAGGAGACTTGGAGAGTGGAAGCAGGTGTGGGCAAGTGCTGCTGCTGTGGTTGGTTGCAGCTTGCCTCATAGTGGTGCAGCAGAGGTCCCAGCCCTGGACATCCATGGTTTCTGGGGGAGATGCTAAGGGTAGGGTTGCTTCAAAAACTGGCAGCCTCCTAATGGGGATTTCTGATATGGTGTTTCTGATGTGGCTTCTTTCTGACAACTGGTATACATCCTCTGTGGCAAATGCATGTTTCTGGAGCTGGTATGTAGAGTAGCTTCCAGTATTGCAAGTGTTGTCATCTTTGAACCAAAGGCAGCAGATTCCTTTGATGGTCCAG